ATGAAGATATTCATGGCAACAAGTAGGGAAGGAGATGGAAGTGACAGGAACAGACTGAGCAGGCCCACCGGGTGCAGGCTGAAAGCCTGAGGAAGTTTAAAGTTTAAAGACTGTATCTGGATGCCCACTGACTTCTTCAAATGCTGGCTTAAACTCATTTTTACAAATGTTTCCTGCTTTTAATCCGTTTTACTTCAGTTTCTCATTTCCTGGTGTCTATCATCAGGAGTTTTTTTTTTTTATTAACCTCTGAATATTTGTTATAATGGTTTTGATTTGTACAAATAATGCTAATCTTTGAAGGTTTACCATAAACTACAGATTTCCATTTTCATTTCTGTTTTAACAAAACATTTTTTGTTGTTCTTGCTCTGTTTAGGTCATGCTTGATCAGATACTGTTGTAAATTTAGTCTCCCAGTGTCTGCCTAGTTCTCAGGCTGCAAAATTATCCCAAATCATTACTTCTCTACCAACATGCTTGGCTGTTGGTGAGCTCCGTTAGCTTATACCAAACAAGGCTGCAGCCGGAAAGTTGAGGGTTTATCTGTGCAAAAGACTTTGCCCCAAAAATATTTTGGATCACTCAGATGTCACCTAAAAACCTTCTTCTGCTTCAGTTTTTATTTTGACAGAGGAGGGATTTTTTATTTTTTTTTTTTGGGAACCTTTCCATAAAAAAAAAATCTGACTCGTTCTTTATTTTCCTAACATATATCTGAGGTCAGGGTCATAATCATCTTTTTCAGCACTGGTTCCGCCAATCCTGTGGTGAATTTGTTGTAACATCAGCGCCTAAGATGGACAATGTCGCAAACGATCTGCATAAACACTTTCATTTGCTTAAAAATAACATTAGAACCATTCCTAGATAAGAAAATGCTTTAAGGCACACATTTGGGTTGAAATTAATACAAACCTTTGTGTTACACACCAGCAAACTGCCATAAACTGGGAGGGGTTCAGGGTTGCTGGTGATTGGTTAATTAAAATCCAAAGAAAGATTTAAGTTTTAACTCTTTATTGTCCAAGTTGCCATTTATTGGTAACATGAAAATAAACACCACGTTCAGCAAACAGGGTAAAATCGTGAAACAAATGTGTCCTACGGGGTCTGCAAGATGCGCCTCATCAACGTTGTTCTGACGGTTATATTTTAATAAAAAATGTTTTACCTTCTTTCTGTTTTTCACAAATTTCTTATAGAGACACTTTGTTGTTTTTTTTATGCATGTTAGGAAAATGAGTTTTTCTGTAATATCTTTGACCTTGATTTATGCAGTGGTAAAGTTATTACGTCTTGTTCTGTACTCCAATAGAACTCTTAAGTTTACATTTTTAATTTCCAAGT